CCCCCCCCCCCCTCCCCCAACATTCAGAGTGACTTGAACAGTCTTTAACCTTAATTTAGCCCACTGGTTTATGATATCTTTAAGATAAGTAGGAAATAAACTAATTATTCACAGGTTAAAGGTAGATTAATTGATGTTATAATATCACGGGGGAGAGGATTTAAGCTAGGACTCGTTTTCATTTCTTTTTTAAAAAGCGGCAAAAAGAAATTCAACATAAAATTCCTAAGCATACTTCCACTAAAAATGCGGACAGCATCGGCAATTTTCTATAGTTTCAATCATATTTCCATTGATGAATGATGGAGAAGTTGTGAGTGTACTTGAAGGCCTTTGTTGCACACTTACCCATTCATCCTGTAAGGACTTTAATATGGCTGGGATGCTTGTGGCTGAGGGTGGGCGAGGCTTCACAACTGTTGATGCTTCAAACAGCAAACAAACAAAAAAATGCATGTGTTGAAATTACACTTCATAGTAAATCATAAAAATGAGACATTATTTATATGGAAACATTCACATTGCTTCATATAACAACAACAGTACAACAGCAAGTTAAGAATAGATTTCCCATATTTTGAGACAGTGTCAAGACTCATTTTAATAATATCATGAGCCACAAAAACGATGGCATATATATATGTAGGCATTTGCAACTTAGATTAAATTAAATTGTAAAACATCTCAAACAAAAGTAAAGAACTGAAATAAAAAACATTTGAATTAAATACAATAAGAGTAAAACTTCTTAATAAGCATCTTTTTAAAAGTTTGCTCAGTGAGAACTCGTAACAAATTTCAAACCTCTATTACGCTATCAAACCAAACTTATCATGTCAAGACTCATCAAGACTTAGAATAGTACTGTTCTTACATCCAAATGTTTCCTTCAACAGTCTTGATAATCATCACTTTTTATCTTTTCGGCCTCTTGTGGTGTAGAGGTTCGGTGTTTGTCTCTCAATCAATAGTTCCCAGATTCGAAACATGACAGCGACGGATCGTGTTCTGTCGCCTGCTTTCATCTCCACTTTCTGCCCCTTCCCCTGATCTCCTCCCTCTTTACACTGCCTTTCTACTTCTACTCCTTCTTACTGCTGTCTTTCAGCCACTCCTCTGATCTTAGGGTAAGTAAGGTCTAACATGTAGCCTTTTCGGATAAGAGCAAAGATTCTCAGAGGTCCCGTGTGCAAGTGGTGCACATTACAGATCCCTTGATGATACTAAAATCGATAAGAGTATCGGCTTCGGCCGCCACCCGAGCAAAATAAAAAAATTAATTCCTACCAAACTGAAAATGCTTTAATGTGTCCCATGCGCTCATATGACCTCGTGAAGTTGCGAGCACAGTAAAACACTTACACAGTAGCACTCATTACGTAACTTATAATATCGAAACTTAGACTGCCTTTCTCATCATATCATAAAACACTTACTTTTGACAGGTATGAGCATATCAGCTGCCAGTTTCTCATTTGAAACTGGATCAACTCCATTTTCTTGAATATATTTTTCAATCAAACGTTTTTCAAACACGTGTCCAGATACTGGTGAGATGACCGGCTGTTCAGGGACCTCATTGCTAACTGGAAGAAAAACATCAAGAAATAGATTAAATATACTAAATGGTCGCTTTTAAGCACAAGGGGAAGGGAGGCATTGCGCTGCCAAGAGCGAAATGCTCGCAGCTAAAAGGATTTGAAAACAAAAACAAGCACAAGGGGGGCTGTCCCGAAAAATACTGTTTTGAGAAAATCGAAAGTAAAGTTTTTGCTGAATCTTTCCGACATCACAAAAGAGTTCCCCTACTGGGTCTGTATACTTCGTGACTTTGTTCCCGGTTACTGGGTCTGTATACACTTCGTTGATATTTTCTCTTCTTAAACGCTTGAAAGGTTGGCAGTGGGTTGAGGCAACTAACATTTTTTTAAAAAAGCGGAATCAGGGATAGACTCTAGATTAGATCTATATCTGTTACTGTTACTAAACATGAAGCTACAGCGAGCACCTAGCACACCTCTGTGATAGGCCCAAATATAGCCTAGATGACGTGGTTCCGTCATCTATTTTTGTCGTCTTCCGGGGTTTCCCCCAAGACTGACTAGATCTAGATCTCGGCGCATTTGTTTCTTTTGTATTAATCATTCGTGTTAGGTAGTGGTGGGCCAAGAATCGATTCCAGAACCGATTCCTGCGATTATTGCTTCTGAGAAAAAGAACCGATCCTTTTTTCGTAAACTAACGATACTCAATTACTCTATTTTTATCTTATTTTTTCTTCAAAGAATGTATTTTTGGAAAAAAAAATGTTGGTGCTTTGCTATGTTCTGAAATCGAGGTTATCTTGAATCTTGAAGACTTAAGAAAGAGTAGTCGGGATGCAAAGTCATTGTCAAAGATTATATCGATCTTGTATACAGTGACAAAACTAATTCGTTGCTTTAGCCTTTTTCTCATTCATCTGTTGTTTTAAAAATTATATCCCCCCACGAGGTTCTATATTATAGACTCTCATTTCTCGGTGTAGGTCAGTGTTGGTCTCTGACTTCATACTGTAGAGATTGGGTGGGGTAGTGCCAGAAGTAGGGCCCCCCCAGCCCAAGTAATCAAAGGGAACGGACTAATCGTTACTCGCCGGATGTAATTGCTGGGGTCGGACAACTCGTTACTCGCTGGAAGTAGTCATGGGTGTCGCTACTCGGCGGAAGTAATTGCAGGGATCGGACTAATCGTTACTTGCCAGAAGTAGTCATAGGTATCGCGACTCGGCAGAAATAATTGTTGGGGTCGGACTAATTGCTACTCGCCGGAAATAATTGCAGGTGTCGGACTAATCGTTACTCGCTGGGAGTAATAGCAAGGGTCGGACTAATTGTTACTTGCCGGAGGTCATTGCAGGGGTCTGGGAGTAACTGCAAGTCGCTGCATATACTAATCATAATACTGGCCGGAGGTCAATGCACGGGTCTGGCTAGCCACTGGAAGAAATCACATCACTGGCTATAAAGAAAGTAAATGGGTTCGGCGCCGATTTCTACGATTCCTAGCCTTTAATATTCGGGAATCTATGGTTACCGAAAAAAAACAGGAATCGCCCACCTCTAGTGTTAGGGGCCTATTTTTTATTATTTATATAAACAATTTCAGCAATTCTCGTTCCGTAAATGTACCTTCTCCTCAGGGTTGTACGCAAACACACACACACGTACGCGCGCACACACAGCCCAAGCAGTCGGCGATGAAACCAAGTCACGTGGCCCATCAACGCTAAGCAACAAAGCAGGCCCACCACGGTGAGATCTAATCTAGATCTAGTCAACTGGCGAGGGAAGCTCCGGAAGATGGCAAAAATAGATGGCAGAAATACATCATCTATATTTGGGCAAAACACAGAGGTGTGCTAGGTGCTCGCTGTAGCTTCAAGTGTTACTGTGTTACAGTATGATCGTATTTTCAAAAGATTGACCAAAAATCCTAACTACAACAACGATTCGGCCAAATTCATATAAGGAAGTGGCTATCCTCATCCGGGGTGAGAATAAAAATACGATCGACCTCTCACCCCGGGTGAGATTTGCTAGGTTGGCCATTCTCACCCAGTGTGAAACAAGACACGTCTTTCCTAATTTCGGAATACTGTCTATCGGTGTGGATGATCAAATCGACAACAAAAAAAAAAGCAAAGATAAAATGATGTGAAAACAAAAGTAAATTAATTTGGTCGCCTACAAAGATGCTACGACTATTTAACTTTTCGAATCGAGCCGCAAGATCTACTCCTCTCCTCTCTCTTTCTGAATACTGTCTGTCGGTGTGGACGATCAAATTGACTAAAACAAAGTTAAAAAATTATGTTAAAACAAAAGTAAATTAATTTGGTTGTCTACAAAGATGCTACAGTTATTTAACTTTTCGAATCGAGCCGAACTATGCAGGTCACCATTTTGTTGTGCCAGGAAGTTTTCGCGTTACTCCTCTCTTTCTTTCTCTCTCTCTCCATTGCCCACAGACAAAACTGCAACACTTTTAGGCTAACAGTAGAAACACAAGAGCGCTGGAACGTTCGTTCACGGCACAGAATTCTACAATTCTGTTATCGCAGTGTAGAATTCTGTGGTTAAGGGTGAACGCTACACTGTTTGGCCTAGGCTATAACGGTGAACGCACACCAGGTGAGAATAGCCAAAAGGCTCGCCAGCGCTGCGGCCGCGGCCATTCTCATATCATAGTAGACTTATAGAGTAATATTACCGGTTTGGTCAAAATAAGGACGAAAACAGGCACGTCCACTTTAAAGCTTTATATCTCCTATCTGCCTTGCCCT